GGAATGAAGGATAAGATAAATTTTTCGAAGGAGGGTGCGCTGTCATACTGGAAAGGTTTTCTAGAAACAATTGAAGATCAATATGGGTCTCAATCTCGAAGCTCGTTGCTCGAGGCTGGCTTCTGACCCACAATGGAAGGAATTGTGAAAAACGATTCACAGGACATTGATATTGCTTTCCTCATGAAAAATGACGAGAACAAAGAGCCACTTTTCGTATGACCTGCTAATGAGCGTCCCAAACCAGAGTTGAACCCTGTGACAGACGTTGAAAAATGTCAATTTTTTGTCCTACGTCCTTCGCAAGATGATATTGACGAAGATGTTCCTGTGTGGATGGGAAGAGTTGTTTCCGTTGTTGACCCCGACGTAAGATCACCGACTTTTAATTATGTCTTCATTAAATAGTGGGTACCACAAGCTGTCGTTAAATCTCTCACTGTGCAACATACGAATGCGTGGAAGAAGACATGGAAGAAGGACAAAATGTCACTTGAGCAATGGCAACATGCAGACTGTATTTTGTGGAGGTGGACGCCAAAAATTTCGCGCTTGGAGAACGGATTACAGATTCCAAAATTAGCCCGAGAAAAAGTTATGGCATGCCTTGCTCTTCCTGATGATGAAGAATGTTAGCGTTCATGATGATCAAGAACTTTAACCTTGATTTTATCTCATTCCAATATTGTTTGGACCATATTTCGCTGTTTCGCAGAATGGTCCAACCATTTGCAACAACAGGATGGTCGCCCAGTGACATCGTATGGGGAAGAAACATGTAGAGTGAGATGGAGGCAATATTTTTCACTTCTGAAGTTATTTTTCAGAATTAAGTAGTCAGTGTCCGAGGTGTGGGCGTCGTGTCGGACAATTGGGAACATTGTCCTCGACAATCTCTCTACATTTGTGGTCGTCGGTGCTGCGGGTCGAGAATGTATCCACGGGACGTGCTCGCGCCATTTTCGCAGTTCTATTACTCTGCAGTGAAAGTCTACTATAATAATTTGAAGGTCTGGACATTGTTTTCTATGGCGGGAAGCATCCAAGGACGTTGCAAGTTGTCATTCCTTATTCATAACGACTATTCTGCAAGTGCAAGCACGTCCAATGCAGATAACATTGATGTGCAAAGGCTAGCAGAATTTTGGAGAGCGGTTAGAGAACAACATATGTTAAAAATATTAGTAGATGGTCTTGTTGACACGACAATCAAATATGTGTGACATCTCCTGTTGCGGGAATACGAGAGCATTGAAGTGCATGTAGAATACAGGGACCTTGCATATCATGAACAAAACGATGCCACTGTTTTGGAAAATTTGACAGTTTACAATAGAAGATAGTCAGCTTAGCTACGTTCAAAGTGTGATGGAAAAATGTTTCGTTTACTGCAAACCAGAGTTCGATCTGTCCGGATATCAAACAAGAGTTGCTTTAAATTAAGCACTCTGGTTCTTTTTTAAGTGACAACGCTTAGAGATGTAAGGCAACCCTGTGCATCATGGACAAAATGTTATCACAGTTTTGGAAGATTTTACATTTTACAATTTTAGATTTTGAACTTCATGATCGCAACTGCTAACTTAAAGTTAACTTAACTAAGTTAAAAGTATGATGGCACAAGGTTATAATCGTTTACAACAAATAGGGGTGCTGCCTGTCAGAGGGGCTGGTCAAGTTTTTTTGCTTATGCAGTCTGGTTCTTTGAAATTTCTAAATGGCAATACTTGGTGATGTAAGGGGCGGAGGAACCTTTGCAAGGCATATGATGATGACCCCTTTGCCCAGCATATGAACCTTTCAAACACAAATTTTCTTTCAAGGTATTCATGTATCATTTTGACTGTTATGAAGACGTTTTGGTTTGTTAACAACATGGACTGGTAGTTCTTTATATGTTTTGAAGTTCGTTGAATTTTTCATCATTGTATTTTTTATATAACGAAAATCTTCTTATTTTGTTCATAAATGTCATTGGCGTCTGTTTTGTCGAAAATTGATAATTTAGGTAATGTTCACTTTTCATAAAACATTTCATTTTTAACAAAAACACCGTTCCTGCAATTGTCGCGACAATACATGAGAGAGACGGCCCTCCGCAGGCGAAGGCTAAAGGAGATGCACAGAGAAAAATCAGTGGAGGCAAACTTTCTTGCTCGAGCCTTTATGTTGGTGACAGGTCTCTAGAAGTCCCGCTTTCTTGGGCAAGAATACGACGCCTCGACATTGCTCCATCGTTGTCCACCACACATTAACTGTCCTTAACCCTGTTCTGGTTTTAGTGAGACAAAATGAGAATAAACGGTTGTGGCATTATCACCATAAGGGCGGAAAAATTGAACTCTCCCTTCTCGGAGCGTTTTGTGTAGGCGCATGACATAACTTGTCTTCCATGTTCCAGATAGATTGTGGGTAACGGCAACGGTCGTTTTCAGTTTGTGCTCTTGCCTGCTTTGGAAGAGGGAAAAGCGAGAAGGGAGATTAGAGTCTTTTAGGAAAATGACAGAGGGTACATCAGAAGTAGAGAGCGCATTATTTCTTTCTTGATCGGTGCATTCAATCCCCACACTCGCCAGTTTGACTTGTCTTTGTGGTAGCTTGCCCTCTGGCTGTTATAGCAGGTTAGTAGAGACTGGTGACAAGGCGAGGGTTCACTTGTGTGATTCAGGGAATGAACAAGGGATGATACTCATAAATTTTGTGCAGAAGTTCATGCAATGTCTATGCAGTAATGTACTGTCCGTCTCGGTGGTCTAAGACCCTACGGCATCATCTTCATCATACGCTCACCATGACTGAGAAGGAGCATGAAACCGTTTATCCACAAATTAGTTTTCTTTGAGGCTTATGGGTGTTGCTTAAGCAAGTAATTTGTGATTGACGCCATCAGTAAACTGAGTTGCACGCTTGTTTCGACCCATACTTCCTCTGTGTGGCGTGATTGTATTCGGTCATGTGAAGTGAGTTAATCATGTGAAATGGTTGGGCTATTATCTTGTGCTTGAGTTAATCCAAGCGGATTCCATGTTGGGATTCGTGACGACGCTGGATGAGTGACTCGAAGTCGGAGTTTCGATGCAATTATCAAAACATTTGATCGGTCTTCATTCTTTCCATTTTGATAGTTCGTGCTCGCAAGTGGTCTTGATTGAGAATGCTCATCTTGCGGCTACAACTGTTGTCGGAAAACAGTAAAAGAAGTCAGATTGACCAAGTAACTAGTTGGCTTTATCATCAAGAATACCCCTTCTCTTGTGCTGTAATTATAACGATAAATGCCCGTTTGTCCAAGTCAGGTGTGCATTTCATGAGAACATTGACTGCCCAACACGAGCCAGGTACCAAGTGCAGCCATACATGTGTACCGCGACTTGAAAGCGCCACGTCGAATAGCTTGGTTTGATGATGAAGCTCCTTCCCCCCCCAATAGTCAGTTTATCAGAGCACGAAAGTGAACGGGGTCGGCATCTCATCCCTAAAGTAATCCACCCTAACAACCGTGGTTATAAGCTAGCACCCTAACTTAGTTGCACAGTCGAGAGAAACTTGAAAAGTATGTGAGGGCGAACGCGAGTGATGATGTGCTTCAGAGTCTGTCCGTTGCGACATGACAACGACTTTGTGTTTTCCAAACAAAACTTCAGTTTTATTTAAAAGTGACCCTGCATTTTATCTCAATCCGCTACTCATAACCAGCACGCTGAACTTGGAAATGAGTACTGGAAGTGACATATGCTCTCCTGCTGACTTGGCGAGGCAAGAGGCTCAGCCTATATAAGACCCCTTGTGTCCAGCGGACTGCCAGGTTCAATAACCTCACTTCTGTAACCGAGTAGACCCGGTGTTTGAATAAACGTTATCTCTTTAAAAGAAAAACAAAAGCATAAGTTGGTGGGATGATACGACTGTGAGGTTTCTTTCCAACCTCTTGTTCGTTTTATGGTTAATGGGAAGACGAAAGACCATTTTGAGAGAGATGGCCTACCTGTTCGTGAAGTTCCTCATAGATGGGAACTAAATATATCCGAGAAAGTTTTTGCTTGCCTCCTTAGTTAAACGGCCTTATAGGGTAATATAGAAACAAGGAAACACTCATGGATGATGTTAGCCTGCCGAGTTTTTGCAATAGCAAACCTTCTGTTCATTCTAATTTGATCACTTCCATTTAGGGAGTCGGAACATTATCAGTAAGCATACAAAGTATTGCTCTAATATGATACTCCACTTATGATCTCATAGAAGTTGTTGAGACTAAGATCGCGGCTCCCTGTTTGAGGGCTTAGGAGAGGAGGATACAACAATTAGGGAAGTCGGTGTTTGTCTATCGATGAGAAACGTCGCTCAGCAACACTTTAGAGTCGTGTACTCACGAGGGCAACATCTAATAATGCCCCTGTACTATAAATAATAAAAGGCCTCGTGCCGCAAGTCCTTACAGATAGGCTAGTAGCAAGTTGCTCCTAGAACAACCCGTGACGTGCGAGTTGCCTTGGCACTCGCTCTATGTTGTTTGCCATAAGCTCCAACAATAAGAGCTCGGACGTAAGGCGAATGATGAGAGTTCAACATCGGTTTGGTTGCCAAGTCGTGCGCAACAAAACTCCTACACAAAACAAAAGGAAGAGCCTTGGTGAAGGCAAGAACTTCGTTCCTTTCTCCTAGCAAAAAGTTACTAATGCATTAATCTGCAGACATTAATTGGTAGCACATATTTGTTCCCTTTGTCAACTTCTAGTGACTTGTTCTCTGATAACATCATACTGGTCAATGAGTCAATATTGTACACTTTCAACCACGCCTCCAATCATTTATCGCTCTTGCCAGTCGGCTCTCGCGTCAACATTAGGGCGGCAGTGGTGCACAACCTGTGCTGAGAGTACTCGGCAGTTACGAAACATCTTGATTAATGTTGGTGGTTTCGATTTTGAGGGCGATATTTCTGAGTGTAAAGCCTGCCCACAACTAACTGTAGTCCATACTGTTCATCTCCTAGCACCCAGAGCTTGGCAGAAGTCATGAAGGACGAAGAGGTTCTTGTGATGCAATATGGGGTTAGAAAAGTTAAGCGAGAAAACTGGGAAGATGAGGCCATTCTGGATATGGAGAATCGGAAAACAGTCTTTAGAGAGGAAGCAATCTGGAGAGTTGAAGAGGAAAAATGTATCAAGTATGTATTCTACTTTAGCGATCATAATGGCAGGTTGCACAACACTGGCTCGTTTGTAGAGACGGTGAAGCAGCCTAGGGCCAGGCTCGGGTAAACACACAAGGTGCCCATATTTTTCCCTTGAGGTTCCACCCCAACGCCTTAGTCAACAAAAGTCCTTCAACAATCTGCAGTTCTCTCATGTGGTTGGTCGTTACTCCAGCAACACTCAATCATCCAAGTTGCCAGAAGTTTCAGTTAGAATTCAACCAGCATTAAGTCGCTGTCATTCCCATAAAAAATTAGGTGTCAACAAGACGAAATTTTCATTCACATGCAAGGGGTCAGTTCCAACACTCAGCATCAGCTCATGACTGCAGTTAAGTCGTACCCCGTCAGTGGGGCCCTGACCAACCTTAACAAGATAACCATTAAAGATGCATTCTCGTATCGGTACATCAGTGAAGTTGGTTTCAAACAGAGAGACCTGTGAATTTTTGTCGTTTTGAACAGTTTCTCAGTCGACACTATCCATGATCTGAAACTCCGTGTGAAGAAAGGCAATAAGGCTCATGAACACTTTTACTCAATTTGGATCTCAACTGCCAGGTACCTTGCGGAGAGAGTAAGAGAGTTTGATGAGAGTGGGACAAAGCTGATCCACAACTTCGGACCCAAGCTCTACTTTGACTACCCCAAGCCTCCAGTTCCCTTCACTCTCACAGATGACTCTTGTTGGCGCGACTTGGTGAATTTGGCCAAGAGGTATATTTACCCTGCAATGACTAACTATGAGGCAGTAATCGAACCTTCTGATTTCTAGCATTTCAGATGAGGGATCTTCTCTCAACCATATCTTCCTACTACGTGGAAGAAGTTTTGTGTTATGGGGGATTCGTATCATGAAACTTGGATGAAAGTGCTCGGAACTTGCGGGTTTCAAGTGGCTTTACATTTAGAGACCCCAATCTTAGGGGGTACATAGCCATGGCTCGAGTCACAAACGACGCACCGCTAAAACGAGAAATCAATGATGAAACTTTAGAGGGGTGAGTGAGGACTCTTGACTAGTGATGATCGTGTCTATTCATTTGTATATTTATGAGATTATTATGAGTTCTCATTCCTCCCTCATTCACACTTGCCTTTGCTCGAGTCAGTTGATCTTGTTTTATTTGCACTGGCTTGATTGATGATCGTGTTCTCAGATGACCCTGTCACAGTTCTAAAAATTAGTAAATTGACAAAATTAACGCATGCATGACACTCCAGAGTTTCATGATTATTATTTGCATGATCTTTGTTGTTCCGAATCAAAATAAAATATTCCTAAGATAGGGGAACGACGAAGACCACAATTAAAGGGTCTCGCTCGAAGTCGGACGCACGCAACAGGAAGGGATTTGTTTTACTTAATTTATTTTATTTGTTGCAAACATCATCAAAATCCTGCGTAACAGCCTGTTGGTTTCCTGGTCGCCTGAAGAAAACTAACTAGGAAAAGTGCGACAAAAATGGCGCCGTTGCCGGGGACATGAAAAGTTTTCGTGTCCAAAACGAGTCTGGATCGATATCAGATTTGAGCTTTGATTAGGACTTCAGAACTGTTGAGAACCTCTGAATTTTCGAACTAACTTTATTATCTCGATTGAGACATCATTCTCTCGGAAATCTCAGTTGATGAATGAGTATTATCTCGTCATGTGTGAAGTACCACAACGAACTCAAAAAGGAGGCTGACATTATTCATTGAAAAGGATCAAGCTGGATCACACGTATGCCTTATGAGCCCTTGACGTCCTTGAAGAACTGAGACAGAAGAGAATGGGTCAGAAGCCAAGAGACTCTATTAAAAATGCGAACTACGGATGCAATGAAAAAACTCTAAAAAATAACTATTAAAGGGATATTCCCCTATCAGTATGAGCATTGTTGGGTTTACCATTTTGACAATTCGACCATCTGTGTAGTGTTGGCTCGCTTCTTGGTTGGAGATATCTATGATATTTGTCCTTATGTCAAGAAAAAAGGCTGCTAAGATGGTGAAACTTTTAACTGGTTACGAAAAATCATTGTCCAATCTATTTATAACGAGAAGACAAAATTGATGAAGCAAAGGTACTGGAATGGGGTTTAATGCCAATAACTTATGAGACAATTTCAATTCATTTTATTCCTAACAGTTACTTTGATGAGAGTAATTGACTACCAATCATTAACATGATATTGAAGTGTGGGAAATAAGTAGACTGTCATAAGAAAGAAAGAGATTTTAGCTAAGGAAACCAGACAGCGAAGATCAGAATTTGGTAAAGGTTCAAGCCCAAGAAGAGAAGAGGTTGAGTACCTACTGAAATCATTGAATGTTCTAGATAAGAAAGAAGTGTTTCCGTCCGAGTTGTCAAATATGAGATGGTCGAGAGTGGATGGTAACATGAACAATTTTATATTATGACATTTTACTTCATCGAGATGAACAAATATGATGTGAGGATCTATGTTGTCAAAGAAAGAAGTGATGAGGCTGTGCACTGTGTATAGGAGATGCTAGGAATTTCCTGAGGAAGTCGTGTTGAAAGAGAAAGAAAGACTTGAGAGGAAAAATAAGTGCTTCATTGGATCCACTCAGATGTGTTTTTTTTTTTTTCTCTCACCTGTGACCCAACCCGCCCAATTTTGTTTTTGTGTTACCCGCCCGACCCAAGAATTTTAACTCCCACCTCAAAACGAACCCAACTGCCCAAAATATTTTTTGAAATTTCAGCCCCACACCCTACTCGCCCGCCACCCAAAAAAGGTCCTCACCCGGACCCGCCCACACCCGTGAGCACATCATTACCCGACTGCATCCAAGACCTATTTTTTTATCGTTCGCAGCAGCTTGTCCCGATGCAGCTCTGCCCACGAATCCTCCATTGGTGTCACCACCTCTCTACCTTGTATCCCATGTCTGCGTTACTTTGTCATGGCGTTGCGCAGCGGTAAGGCCAGGTAAGTTGGGGGTGGCCTAATGAATTCGCCAAATTCGCTAACCAAGGGCGAAGTTTAAAGAGGACGGATCTAGCCGCCTACTGTAGGTAGAACTGCTCCCTCCTTTTTTTAGATAATACTTGGGCAAGGGCCTGAACTGCTGGAGTGCGTTTTTTATTTTTCTTGACCCTGATGTAACAGGCAACCCTGCGTGACTGTACGCATACCCATTTTTTTCGTCTCTCTCAACCTCGAGCTTGTGCACTGCACAGGCAGACCCAAGACCTTGTTCGTTTTTATTTTTTGGTGGGGGAGGG